CTCCCTAACCTCCTACTATCTTTTAGGTTCATCAAAGTTTTATGGCTGAAATTCAAAAAGAAAAATTTTATTTTTACTTGGGAAAAATTCCACAAGAATACAAGTGATGGCTCATCCGAAAAAGAAGAACCAGAAGACAATAGCATGGCATTTTTTAAAAGGTGAGAGGAAAAAAAGGAACTTTCTTAGAATTCTATTTCCAGTGAAAATATTCTCAAAATTGAGAAAAATGTAAGACTACTTGCTATTTTTAGAATTCCTTTAAAAACTATTGACTGTTTAAAAATAGCAATCTATGATGAAATTTATGAGTAAAATGTTACAACAAGAGTACAAATATGGGGAAACAGTAAATGAAATTATACTTTTTAAAAAGTTTCTTTTGGATTTACTGTAGCAACTTTATAATTCATGGTAGGCTGTGATAAGAATGCAGCTATGAAATGTAATACAAAAGATAGAGCTAAGAAGCCAATAGAGATTAAACACCTCTATAAATCCAAAGAGGCTATGAAGGAGAAACCATGGAACAAAGAAGAGAAGGGATCAATGAAAACGCAGAGGAAGATGATATATACGCACTCTAATCAGATTGAATTAAAAAGGAAAAAAGTATGAACTATATGCTCTTTACAAGGGGCACTCTTTACATGAGAAAATAGAGGTAGAAATCAAAAGGAAGAACACTATATGTCATGCAAATATCAATCATATAAAAGACAGTGTGGGTAAATTAAGATTAGACAAAGTAGATTTCTAGACCAGTGATGGTACTAGCCATAAAAAAGAATGTTGCTTAAAGATAAAATGGATTGCCCATCAACAAGACATAACAATGTTAAATATGTGTACATCTAATAACAGAGCTTCAAGATACAGGAGACAAAATTTTTTAGAACTAAAGGAATAGATTGACGAATCCACAATCATACCTATGGATTTTAATGCACCTCTATCAGTAATTGATAATGCAAGTAGGCAAAAATACATAAAGATACAGAAGATTAGAACCACACTATGAGCTCATTTAACCTACTTGACTGCTCTCAATATTTACAGGATATATATACTTTTCAAAGACACATGAGAAATCACAGCCAAATGCATATTGTGCCATAAAACCAGTCTCAGTGATAATAATTTAATTAGACTCAAAATTCTGGATCTGGTAATTAGCATCAATTCCCAATTTGGTTCCATTCAAAAGGGGGAAGAATAGGCTGCACATAGTAGTCACTAGTCCATAATAATTCTCATCCAGTTGGTACATCACCTAGGTCCTCTACTGGCAGCAATGTTCCTTTATTATAGGTCAATATGCTCTGTGGGACTGGTTTCCTAATCCTTTATAATTTGCAGATATTGGTTCTACTCTCTGGGTCTGCCTCTTGGAAAGTTTGTTCATTTAATAAAAAATGGCCCATGTTTGCGTTTGAGTAGCTTTCTTAGTTGGCTTTCTGTCCATGTAAAGTTGGAAGCCCAGAATCTTCTTTTCATTATAAACTGTCCAGGTCCTTTTTGTCTAAGTTTGTGCTTTTATCAATACAATGCAATACTGTATAAAAATACAACACAATACAATACAATACAAACCAACACAAAAACCTTAACTTTTTTGTGAGTTTTCCGCGAATCTTTTAGAGGTTTTACTCTATGAATTGTTATCTTTCCAGCCCCTGCTGACAGTTTGTTTGCCATATGTCCAACTTTTGCCAACAACTTCTTTGCTGCTTTTTAAGCTTCAGATAAGTCCCAAACCAATGTCACGTGTTTTGTGTTTCTATTATGACAACACCCCACTTCTAGGTATCAGCACCTGTACCTATTATTTATCATAACAAAGCAAACTATTTTAAAATTTTACAGCTCAAAAGAACTATCCTGTTTTTCAAAAACTTGTGGGTTGGCAGAGCCATTTCTGGTGGTCTTGCTTGGGATCACTCATGAAGCTGTAACCATATGGTGGAATGTCTAGGAAAAGGAGTTTACTTAGGGCAGTGAGGCTTCTGACTCAACATATACTTTTTCTAGGGGGATGTCTTTATGACATTGTGGTCTCATAATTCAAAGGAACCAAGACCCAATATGTAAGTGCTTATCAAATTTTTATTTTGGATCATGTTTGCTGATTTCACATTGGACAATCCAGGTCAAATATGGTGATTGCCAAGGGGAAGGAGAAGAGGGGAGACAGAGGAAGGTATAGGGGCATAAATGGTGATGGATGGAGATTTGAGGTGATGAACACACAATACAGAGTACAGGTGGTGTGTTATAGAATTGTGTACCTGAGATCTGTATAATTTTGTTAACCAGTGTCACCCTGATAAATTTAATAAAAAGGAAAAAATAGAAGAAAAATGGATATAATAAAGAAATTGTTGTGGGAGCCTTATACATAAGGACACCGATGGCAAGAAGCAAGATTCTCAGTGGGAGCACTAGTACAACAATCAACTTAAAAAGGAAAAAGCATAATTATTTTTATTTAGAAATAACAATTATATACATATAAAATCTGAAAGAATTTACAAACTCCTAGAACTAATAGGTGAATGTATCCAAGTCATGGGATACTAGGTCAATGGATATATTTTGTAGCATTTTTTTAGACTAAAAGAAAACAATTGAAAACTAAAATAAGAAAAAACATTTATGACAGTATTAAAAAACACAACAACCTAAGTATGACTTTAATGAGAAAATGTAAAATATATCTGTTCAGAAAAATATAAGACATTGCTCAGAGAAATTAAGAAGACCAATACATAAAAATAACCAAGTGTATGAATTAGAAGTTTCAATATTGTTAAGATATTAATTACATTCAAATTGATCTCTAAAGAATCAATGCAATCCAAAACAAGATCTACTCACTTCTTTTTATAAAGTTTAGAAATAAAAATGTCTTAGGATAGTAAGATAATCTAAGAAATTAAGAACAATTTTAGAAGGCTTATGCTCTTTGATTTCAAGACATACTAAAAATCTACAATAATTAAGACATTTGGTGCTACCATTAGAATAGAAGGAATTATCAGTGAGTAAGAATAGAGGGTCCAGAATTAAACTCACACACACACACACACACACACACACACACAGCATAGATTTATATGCATTCAATTGATTTTACATAAAAAAGCAAAAATCAACAAGAAACAGTACTGGAATAGTGGTATGCAATATGGAAAATATGAACATTGACCCTTAGCTTATATAATACATAAAATTAGTGTAATATGTCATAGACAGAAATATGTTAGCTAAAACATAAAGTAGGCAAGTATTTTTTAAATAGGACTCAAAGTCATTACCATAAAGAAAAACAATGATAAAGTAGACTTCATTTTAAAAATTCTTCTGATTAAAAGATATCAATGGTAAAAATGGTGATACTTGTAATAGTGTCAACAATAAAAACAAAGAAATTCAAATACACTTAATATACCTTTTAACAAACTTTTAATGTCCTGATAATTAAAGATAATGACCTTACAGAGTTTAAAAAAAGATATCAATAGGAGATATAAATCAAAATTAGGAAGACAATGTTAATAAATATATCCGACAAAGAAATTATGTCTATAACATACAACAAACTCAGAAAAAGAGAAACCAATCTAACTAAAATTGGTAAATTCTTAAAGTAATATTTCACAATGAAGATAGCCAAATGGCCAGTAAGCCAATGAAAAGGTATTCATCATCATTTTATGATGAAATGCAAATAAATATTGCTTTAGAAGCTGGAATCCCTGAGTTCAAAGGACAAGTTCCAACTCCATCACATATTATCTGCATGACCTCACACCAGTTACTTAAACTCTGTGACTTACAAGAATAAAAAAAAGGATAATAACTATCATACTTCATAGGATTTTTGAAGATTAAGAGAATATATATGTTTATGATACACAGTAAGTACTTAATTTTAATCATTACCAATAACTAGTATTTGAAAACATAAGTTTAAGGCTAAAAAAGGCTAAGCTGTAGCCATGGAAATGTGTGTAAATGAACTATATAGAGCTATATAATGAACTGTATAGAGCTATAGACGCTTCTGTATTATTTCTTGAAAAGTTAATGCCTGGCATATTTTAAATGCTCAAAGTTTACTGAATGAATGAATAAGTACAAGAATAGCCACAAAGAAAGAAAATTCTTCCATGCAGTAATTGTTTAGCAAATACTTTATTATGGGAAATCAGATTGTTAACATTCTTCATTTATTTACATTTTCATTTTTACATAAACTACTATAATAAACTATCTTTTATGATTATTCTGTGTGCTCCAACTCTCAAGGTCCCTCTCTTTTCTGTCCTGTCCAAAAATGTTAGCTTCTGAGAACTGTGTCAATCAGTCTCCCTGCCCTCCTGCTTCCAGTTGGGGTTCCCCAATGGGAGACAGGGCGAGGGATGGGGAGGTACAAGTAGGGAGAGGTTGGGGTAGTTATCTCCCTGCTATCTCTTTGCTAACAGTTTCTTTTTCCCCTAAAGCCACAGTTCCTACCAAGTGTTTTCTTTTGATAGATCTAGATTTTACTGGTGTTGAATAATACTGTACCTTCTTTTTGCCTGTGAGGCCTAGGGACCATAATGGCCTCCTGCTATTGCTAGTATGTAAGAGAGTTGCCAAACCTCATTTGTTCCCTCATTCATATTGCTGCATATAATCCCTTTATGACATTTTTAAAGTTAAAATCTATTGAATGGCATATCTGCTTCTAGCTGATACCTGAGAGGCAGTCTTATACTTGTCACTTTCTATTATGCTATGCTCTTTTGTTCATTTCTTTTATAGAAGATAAATTTCTGAGTCTACCAAAATGGTAGAAAAATTTTAAAGGTCTCTGGTACACATAGCTAAACAGTATCTAGATAATTTATACCACTTTAAAAGATCAATTTTAACATTAACTGAGAGAAATTTCAGTTGCATGGAGATTTGGGTGGGTTGGAACCAAACCCTTGCCTGATTGGGTGTACCCTCCCCTAGTTTTTCTGGGAGGGACAATTCCTGGTAAGAACTCTCCATATGGTCGCCTTCATCTCACTGTTCCTCAGGGTATAGATAAATGGATTGAGCAGTGGGGTTCCCAATGTGTATACCAGTGAGATGAATTGATCCTGCTTGGGGTAGTAGCTGGAGCTGGGGCGCAGGTACATGAAGGCACAACAGCCATACTGGAGCAGGACCACAGTGAGGTGGGAGGAGCAGGTGGAGAAGGCCCGGCGGCGGCCAACTGGTGAATGGATCTTGAGCACAGCAGCCACGATGAAGGTGTAGGAGGTGGCAATGAGGAGGAAAGGCATGGCAATGGCTAGTGTGGCTGCCACCAGCACTGACTGCTCATGGATGTGGCTGTTGGCACAAACAAGATGCATCACTGGTGGTGCATCACAAAAGAAGTGCTTGATACCCCGAGTCTGACAGAATGGCAGAGAGAAGATGAAGGCCACCAGTTGTAAGGACAGAAAGAGGCCAATGACCACAGAAGCCACAACCGAGCAAACACAAAGAGTTAAAGTTATAATGAGAGGGTACCGCAAAGGGTGGCAAATAGCAACATACCGGTCATAGGCCATCACAGCCAACAGGAAGCAATCTGCACTGCCAAGTCCAATGAAGAAAATCATCTGAGTGGCACAGCCCAGGAGGGTGATGGTCTTCTCTGACTGTAGGATGTTGGCTAGAATGTGAGGCACCACCACAGCAGTGTAGCATATTTCTATCCCTGAGAGGCTGCCCAGAAAATAGTACATGGGTGTGTGTAGGCGGGCTTCTGTCTGGATAGCCACCACAATGAGGACATTCCCACTGATGATCAATGCATAAACCAGGCTGACTCCAAGGAAGGACAAGACTCGCAACCCAGGATGGGAGGGATAGGCCAGGAACACAAACTCCATCAACACTGAGCAATTTCCCCGGGTCATTGAACTAACAGGTTTTGTCCGTTGTGAGTTACTAGAACAGGAGAAATAATTAGACTGACAATATGTTAGTTCACACTGTGAGCCGTGAACTGGTCTCATCAAGATTGGAGTTACAAACTAGAATTAGAACTAGTTTTCTTTTTCCTCCACTTTTACTAAACTTCCTCACATAAATATCTAAAACTTAATTTCTAACTTCTACAGTTGGGCTAAATTATGTAAGAAATTTTTGAGGAAAATATTCAGAGGAAATTTGTGGAATTCAAAGCAATTTTCAGTAGAAATGGAATGAAAATTAATTTTTTATTCAGTAAAGTCACAGGGAAAATGTGAAGGAATTTTTGGCTGCAATTATGAAAGTATAGGCAGAGAGCTATTCATTCATTTGTTCACTCATTCACTTGCATTTACACTCAATGCCTCTTGAGGTATTGAGTTGTATATATATGGATATAATATTCAAAAGCTCATGAAATGTACAAAATTTATTTAAAACTATGAGTAGAAAGTAGACAGAGCATGGAAACATATAGATTAGACAAATGTGTTTTAGAGAAGTATATTTTTAATTTTGAGCATTAATCCACAAGAACCATATAATTTCATTCATCAGTGGGATATAAAACAGCAACAAATGAACAAAACAAACAAACAAACAAACTCATGGACACGGACAATAGTATGGTGGTTACCAGAGGGGTGGGGGAAGAGGAGGGAGGGAAGGTTAAAGAAGGTCAAATAGATGGTGATGGAAGCAGATGACCTTGGGTGGTGAATATACACTACAATATACAGATGATGAATTACTCTTGAAACTTATACATTGTTATTAACCAATGTAACTCCAATACATTTAATTAAAAAAAGACTCAATGGGAGAAAAACATGGAATAGTAAGGACAACTAAGGAAAAGAAAGTTTATTGGAAAACACAATTAAAAATTGGGAAACAATTAAAAATTGGGAAGGATGTGAGGGTCATGATAAAAAGTGGTTCAGTCTGGATAGAGGGTAAGGTGCTAACAAGATCCCAGAGGATTGAATATTAGGTGTAGAAAGGTAGATACTACTCTATAGGCAAAGGCTGCACTAGTGGCTTGACAGCACCAGAGTTGTGCTTAAAAAAGATCAGTAGTTCTCTGCAGCAAAAGATATAGTCAAGAGGGTGAAAGGCAGCCTATGGAACTGAAGACATTATTTAAACACCATATATCTGATATGGGGTTAGTATGAAAAGAACCCTTACAACTCAACAACAAAACAAGCAATCCAGATAAAAATGGGCAAAAACTTGACGAGATGTTGGTCCAATGAAGAAATACACATGACTAATAAGCATATGAACAGATGCTCAACATCACTAATCATTATGTTAATGCATATAAAAATCACAATGAATTATTCCCTCATACTTACTAGGATAGCCACTATTGAAAAAAAGACACACAGATGCTGGCAAAGATGTAGAGCAATTGGAAAACTTGTGCATTATTGGTGGGACTATAAAATGGTTCATCCACTATTGAACAGAGTATGGAGGTGCCTCTAAAAATTAAAAATGGAATTACCATCTGATCCAGAAATTCCACTTCCGTGTATATACTTAAAATAATTGAAAACAGGATCTTTAAGAGATATTTGCACACTATGTTCATTGTCCCATTATTCCCAATGGTCAGGAGATGGAAGTCATCTAGTTGTTCATCAACAGATGAATGGATAAAATAATATAGTGTATAAATACACAAGAATATCATTGAGCCTTAAAAAAGAGTTTAATCCTGTCATGCTACAACAGAGGTGAACTTTGAGGACGCTGTGTTAAATGAAATAAGCCAGTCACAAAAAGAAAAATACAGCCTGATTCTACTTGTATGAGGACCTAAAGTAGTCAAATTCTTAGAAACTGAAAGTAGAATGGTCGTTGCCAAAGACGAGAGGGATTGGGGAAAGGAAAATTGTTGTTCATGGGTATAGAGCTTCAGTTTTGTAACATAAAAATCTGTGGAGATTTCTTGTATATGGTTAATCCATGTATGGTTAATAATATTGTGTTGTACACTTGAAAATTTTGAAGACAGAAAATTTCATGTTGTGTATTTAACTTTATGTTATGACCACACACACACACACAAAAGGCAATATCCAAAGTTGTATATTCAGTAGGATTTTGAATCTGTAGGGAATGTGTAGTAAACTAATATTGGAAGAAAATTGTGTATATTTACAAAGTGACTGTCCTAAATATTAAGAGTGCTTAAGGTATAAATCATTCTGTTGTTGTCCTAATGATTAACAAGCAGAGTTCATTTCATTTACTCTCTTTCCTCTTCTGAATTTCAATAATGGTTTGAATTACTTTCAGTGTCACTTCACATATTTGACATTGTATTATAACAAGCAGAAGAGAGGCAGTGTATCAGTGTAAAATTAAATAAATAATTTAATTTCAAAACTGATGGTTTGAATAATCTTATCTTCTGGTTCTGCAATGCTCAGCAATATATAAGTTCTCAGAGTCCTGGTTTATTATTTTTAAAATTTATGTTTAAATTATAGTTGATATACAATATTATACTAGTTTCAGGTGTACAATGTAGAGATTAGACATTTATATACCTTATAAAGTGATTACCTCAATAAATCTCATGACCATCTGTCATATTATGAAATTTTTTGTTTAAAAATAGGGGTAATAATTATATTCAGTTCTAAGGGTTGTTTGTATTAAATGAGATCATAATGTACAGTATCTGCCACAGTGCCTTCCTAGTCCACAGTAATAGCATCCTAGCAGCCTAACATCAGAAAACTATCATAATTATTTGTAAGTTCAAGGATAGCCATCTTCCCTTATTTATATTTTAAAACTAACCATGTGCAAATTGTGGACACTCAATAATTAGTGTGTTGAATGGGTAAATAAACTGTGAAAAACATGTCATTTATACTTCCCTCTATTTTCTCTTTTAATTTTTAAGATTATTTCATAATCAAATCACTTGTTTAAAAACCCTTATGGAAACAACTTTAGTGGACCTAATTATAGAAAACATTTGGGCTACGCTGTGGAAAAAATCTCATCAACCCATCACCCATGAATGTAGCATATATAAGGGTACAACAGATGTCTGAGACTAGTCTACCAGCTATTTATGATGGAGGGTTTTGAAATCTGTGTGATAATGATGACTTCTGAGGATTTTATTATAGTCAATCACACTCATCATCTTAATGGTGCTCTTCAGGATCTATAATAAAATGCTTACATCAGAGCTATCATAGGTCATAAATTCTTGGCTTTGGAAAGGACCTCAGAAATTGCTTAGTTCAGTCTCCTATTAGATATTTGAATCTCCAATAAAGTATTTGAACATCAGGTCACCTTCAGTGCCCAGAAAATCTCATTACCTCCTGGCTCTCTTGCTCCATTGTTGGAAGGATCAGTGCACTAAAAGTTCTTTCTTGTAATCTTCTTTCTTGTTATCTCTGTGAAACTTCTGTGTATTCATTCTATTTTATACCATGGAGCAATTTCTAAATGAAACAGTTCAGATACTGAAGAACCATTATTATGCAGTTCTATGTTTTCATCCTGATTTATTTAGCTATTCCTCACATGACATAGATGTGATATTTCTCATAATTTCATCACCGGAAATCCTCTCATGTTAAATATCTTCCTAAGAAGTGTCCCTGCAGGGAACAGATCTCAGGGACTGTCAGGATTAAAAGAACTGGACATCACCCATATGGTCATGGGCAGTTTCTTTCTTTTATCTAAGGAAAATAAGATTAATTCACAGGTTTGTGTTTAATTGTTTGGTATTCTCCTCGTTCTTTGACTGTTATTTAGCTCCTTAGATGCTAAAATTTCTAATTCTTTTTTCCTGTTTTCAGAGCAGCAAAATATCATCCACCATTTTTTAAAACATTGGCATGGTCTAGTCTGCTGATATTGAGATTTTTAGAAAATCTTTAATTTGTCCTTTCTGAAGTCATTCACATTTAATTTTTATTTATTAAGTGCCAAGCACCACATAAAATGGTGATCAAAATGTCACAGTCTGTGGTCAGTGGATATTACATTGTAATAGGAAAGGCAGACATTGTTAATTAAATAATCTGATATATGTATATGTAGATAGATAGATACATAGATGATAGATAGATAGATGATAGGTAATCGATAGATATGATTGAGTGGTATTAAGAAAAACGGTGTGTTATAAGACTGCACAACATAGGACCTGACATTGTTTGTGAGTAGGTGATTCTGAAAAGTCTTTCTAGAAGAAGAACACTTAAACTTAGATCTAAAGAATGAAAATTAACTAGGAGAAGAGGTATAGACAGAGTAATAGGGTCCATATTCTGCATAGATAAAATAGTGGGTTTCATGATTCTAAGAGAGTGGAGCTTACTGTCTAAACATATCATTAACTTGTTATTCCAAGTTTTTTCTAAATATTTAGTAATATATTTAAGTGCAGAAACAACCAGCCTCTAGATTACTAGAGTACTCTGTTCTTTTGCATAGGACAGAGGCAAGACAGGAGCACTTCAACATCATCCCCAGAAATCTGCCCAGGTTGGCATCTGTTCATGAACCTATTATCTCAGTGCCTCCAAGTCACATCCCACATCACACCCTCATCTTTCTTTTTACCTCTCCAGCCTGTCCAGCCCAGTTGAAAAGGATTATATGAGAAAAATTGTCCATTTCCATTCTGGAAATCTGAAGAGTCTAGGTTAAAACAGCTCTCCAACTGTCCAATTAGCATTATTTTAGAAGTGAGTTAGTAGATTTGGCATTGAACAGACCTGTGCTAGCATCTCAGTCTACTATTGATAATACTATATTCTGGGCAGACCACCTCATATTACTTCTGGTTCCCCCATATTTAAAGGATGTAAATAATAATGTTTATCTAATAGGGTTATGATTAGATTAAACAAGATAAAATGTTTAGGACATGTGGCTTGATGTCTAAAATTTATAATTTGCATAAAAGTGCTAATTTTCCCCTTATTTCTTTGAATCACTGAAAGGAGTAATATTAATAAGGGATAATAGTAATAATATCTACCATATTGTCTGTCAAGATTAAATAAGTTACCATATAAAAAGAGGGTTTTATGAACTCAAGCCACATCAAAATTTATGTTATTTATTCTCTCAATATTTCTTTGACTGAAATTAGTTATTACCATTCTATTCAGAGAAACTGGGCTTCCAAGTGGATTCAGAGAACATACTGTAAGTCCTGGTCTGAAATAGTTCTGAAATACTGGATTACTTGATCTGTACAGCCATTACTCACTTTTCTAAGTCAATGTCAGTTGGTGCCTGGAACTTTGTAAATCAAGGAGGTAGAACAAGGCTTTCTCTTAGCTTCAACATGAGAAGGGAAAAGAGTATACTGAGCTAGTCTTCTTAGTTACATTAATAAAGAACAGGACCTAGCAGGGAATGTCTGACTGCTTTTGTGGATAAAGAAGGGAGGACCATGTGCCTGGAGAGACTACCCAGTGGGAATGAGACTTTAACTAATCTTTCTGAGCAAATGCTGTGGAAGAAGTAAATTTCTTTCCTATCTAGGGTTTTGCCTTGTAGGTTTCATTTCCCAGAAGGTGGTTTAAGGGATTGCTGATCTCCTCCCCTGTTAGCAGATAATTGGTCCAAACTAAAACTGCCCCTATACTTGGGATCCCCTGTCAGTGGAAGGTTTAAGATATAATTGTCAAAGTAGATACCAGTATTAAACTCTTTAGCAACATTCTCAGTACCCCTCAATAATTCTCCGAAAAATATGGTTTCCAAATCAAGGTCATCTGAGTCTCCTTTCTCAAGGCATTTACTCCCACCAGATTGTCATAGCTGGATTTAGACCCAAATTATTTTCACTCTGGAAAACTGAGACCATATTTTATATTTTATCTGGCTTCCATGGAGCCTAGGATAGTGCTGTATACTTACTAGCACCTAAATGAATATTTAGCAAATGTTTAATCTTTTCTATGTCATCTGTCTTTTCTTAAATCTCTTTGAGCAGAGACATTCTTATAGGTGCTAGCAAATTAGCTTATTCTTTGAAAAAAATGTTGGTTGGTCATGTATATATAAATTTTTATAAGCCTGTGTGTGAATGTATGCTCCCACATGCCTCATTTATTCAGAGGAAGTTCTCTGTGTGGGTCTAAGTAATTAATGTAGCTCTTCACTATGTGTGTGTGCAGGATAGTCAGATACCAATAGCCAGGCAGGGTTGACTTATAATGTGGTGTTTGACTGGTTCTAAACTGACACTAATCCCAGAGACCCAAAAGGCTCTGTAGTTCCCCAGTCAGAGCAGGTGCTCATGGAGGCCAGGTGATGAATGGAATTTTTAGCGCAGGTTCACCTCGCATAATGCTTGAGTGCACTTACCCTAGATATAGATTTGCCCTGCCTTGAGCACAAAGCTTCTGCCAAAACTATGGACTTACAGAATGTTTTGTTATAGTCATGGTATTACACACAGCATTGCTGCTGCCCAAGCAATTCACTTTATAGCAAATGAAGAACATAAGTGAGTCCGTAATCATAGAATTCACTGATCTTATAATTTTCTCCACCATCTGGATTGCTGGAGTGGTGAATAGCCTTTTGAAAACAGCCAAAGTCCCAGGCTCTCTAGGAATGAAGGTTTGGGTTACTCTGCAAGGCAAAGAACCATGATAAGCTGTGGAACTTTTTGACAACAAAGAGAATATGGATGGAGTATTGGAAAAAGGAACTATAAATACCAATCTTGACCACATGACCAGCTGTGGAAATGAAGGCTGTAAACATTACACATATTTTTTCATTTTTATGAATAAGTATGCACATATGTATGTGTGCAGCTTCTTCCCTATCTCCTTACTGTATAACACAAGATATGCTGACTTTGCATTATAGTATTTAAGTATTGTTAACTCTACAACAGTAGAAGGGTGAACTTCACACAAAGACTTTGCATTCTCTTCTGGGGATAGGGTTAGTGTGTTTTTCATTATATGCAGGATAACCATATCAGGTTAGGCAGAAGAATGACTTTGTTATTGTCTTTATTGAAGATCAAATATGGTTTAAGGAGATGAGTATGGATGCCAAGCTGACAAAGGGTGGATTATGACTTTTAATTTTATGTGTCAACTTGCTAGTCTGTATATGATACCCAGTTGTTTAGTCAAACATCAGTCAAAATGTTGCTGTCAAGGTGCTTTCTGGACATGATTAACACTTAAATCAGTAGACTTTGTGTAAAGCAGCTTACCCACTACAATGTCGGTGGGCCTTATCCAATCACTGGAAGGTCTGAAGAGAACAGACTGAGATACCCAGGAAAAGAAAAGATTTCACTTCCAAGATGCTTTTGAACTTGACCACAACATTGATGCCGGCAGGAATTTCCAGCTTGCTAGCCTGGGATGGACATTTTGAATTTGCCAGACTCCATAATCACATGAGCCAACCTTAAAATAAATCTCTCCATTTATATATGTACATCCTGTTGGCTTTGTTTCCCTGGAGAACCCCTGACTAACATAGAAGATGACCTCCAGAAAGCTTGACTCTGACACCTGATGAGTCACTCTCATTATTTGACAGCTTAGGTGTCTTATGTTAGAAATCTGGCAGTTACCCTCACATATTTAGTCTTAGAGAAAATTGACTGCTCCACCTTTCCTGACCTTCTTGCACATTCCTGGATAAAATGTGGGATTGTGAATTAGGCCAGCACACAAGGAGCATTGTTACATGCAAAAGAGATTTAATGAAAGAAATAGGTAAACTGACCAGGTGGTTATTTGTCATACCTTATATTTTTATTTTTTAATGTTTTATTGTTTATGTTATTACAGTTGTCCTAATTTTTTCCACCTTCTTTCCCCTTCACCCAGTCTCCACCCCCTACTTCTATAGTCAATCCCCACACTGTTGTCCATGTCCATGAGTCCTTCATACATGTTCTTTGACTAATTCCTTCACTTTCTTTTGTTCAGTCTCCTCCTTCCTCCTCCCCTCTCATATCTGTCATATTCATCACACTTTAAAGGTTAAATACAACAATAAGGCATATTACATTGAGTGAAATATCTTTATGAACATTTCTCATCCAAAGCACTGTTCAAGGAATCAGTTAATACCATTGCTCCTCAGGAGAAAGCTTCAAAGATAATGAAATTGCTTCAGAGGAGATGTGAATTTTTAATCTGGGCTAAGTGAACAATAACAGCCTAGCAAGGGCATTCAAACTTTGGCATCTCTGGGTGACACTGGAAGAAGAAGAGTTGTCTTGGGCCACACATTAAATACACAAACACTAAAAAAAACTGATGAGCATAAAAAGGGTTTTAAGTAAATTTATGATTTTGTGTTGGGCGGCATTCATAGCAATCCAGGCCCGCATATGGCCCTCTCTCAGCAGGTTGAACGCCGCTGAAGTATCTCTGTTTAGTTTTCAGAGTTTTAAAGTTCAGAAACTTAAAAAAAAATGAGAGTGATTTGCAGCAACTAAATGTATTAGGAACAAAGAATTAATGAAAATCCAAATTGTGAGGCAATAAATGTAAGTATGGCATTTGTATATAAGAGTTTCACTGTTGTCACACACTCAGGTATCTCCTTCAAGTCCCCCTAACTTTTCAGAAAGTGTCAGCTGTTCCTTTGTTCCTGATGGGACTTTTTCAGGGCACCTTTGACATCTTTGTTCTTAAGGGTGTAAATCAGGGGATTGACTAAGGGGGTGACAAAAGTGTAAATGAGGGCAAATTCGCAGTCCATATCCACGGAGGCCCTAGACTGGGGACGCAGGTAGACCAAGACACAGAAGTCATACTGCAGCAAGACCACAGTGAGGTGGGAGGAGGAGGTGGACAAGGCCTGGCTGCAGCCCTCCGCTGAACGGATGTGCAGGATGGCCAAGGTGATGAACGCATAGGAGACCGAAATAAGGATGATGAGGACAGCTAGCACAAGGATGCTCATGACATTGAGGATGGCCTGGTGCACACAGATGCCAGCTCAGGTCAGCCGCAGGACCAGAGGCATATTGCAGAGGAAGTGGTTGATTTCCTGGAGATGCCTGTAGAAGGGCAAGGTGAAGATTAAGGATGGGAGCTGCAGGGGCCGGTAGAGAGCTAGAGCTGCGGTGCAGGCCACCATCTGGATGCACAGCTTCTGGGTCATGCTGAGAGTGTTGTGCAATGGGTGGCAGATGGCCACGGAGTGATCTTATGCCATGATTGCCAAGAGAAAACAGCAACACCAAGAGTGAGAAAAAAGAATATTTGGGCCCCACAGCCAGCCAATGAAATGGACTCCTGAGCTCCAAAGACGTTGGAAAGCAGTAAGGGCACGGCCACGGTGGTGCAGCTGATCTCAACGAAGGGCAAGCTGGACAGGAAGAAATACATGGGGGTGCGCAGGGAGCTGTGTGTACACACTGCCCAGATGATGGCTGTGTTGCCACAAAGGCTCATCAGGAAGAGCAGGAGGAAGGGGAGAAAGAGGTGCGTTCGGAGTTCAGGGACAGCGGTGAAGACGCAGAACAGACTCTTGGTGAGGCTGGATTGGTTGAAGAGAGGGCTCCTAGCAAGCATGTCTCCTGCAAAAAAAGAACAGGAAGTGCTGAATCTTTTCCTTTGATGAGTTATGTTATTGCCTGAGTAAAATAAAGATTTTTAAGTTTTGTTTCTGATATGGAAATGACCTAATTGTGATTAAGGTTCTAATTGTAATAAAAGATGGAATAATAGTCCTTAGAATTCTTCATACGTATGTTGCTGAAGAAAAAAAACCAGGCTTCTAAAATAACTTTAAACATCAGCCTTTATATATCTGTTCATAGGTGCTAGCTCTTTGCTTTGGTAAAGGATTCATAGTTGTATAACTGTAGACATTTATTTTAAAGATTAAGTTTTGAATTATGAAATTCTTCATATTATTCTGGATGTTTGGTCTTATGGAGGACTGACTGGGAAGACAACTTTATTTCAAGGTGCCACTTATATCTGACATATGCCACTTATAAATTTTTCCCCTTTTCTAAGACTTTAACTGTCAACCCAGATTTTAGAGTTCAAATGTGCTGACAGGTAGAAGCACTGCATTCATGGTAGGTCAAAACAAGAGAGGAGCTAGGTGAGATAAGGGAAGATGGGTAGGAAACTAGAAATTTCCTAGAAGGGGAAAAAGAAAAAAGAAAAGAGGAAAAATAACCACTTTTCACAAAGTCACCACTTTCCAGCAGATTTGTGTTTAAAATATATTATACTTTTTATAATACCCATATTTAAGAGATGATGGACCACTATCCAAAATGTTTTAAGGAAAAAAATTCTAAATGAGAGATCTTGCCTAATCCAGTTGTCATTTATAAATTATAATATTAAAATTATTTTTTCAAATTTGTAAAGGCTCTGGAATCTATATCATCTACATTCTTACTGAAACAGTAATTCAATTACTCAAATAATCTGTTTGTTAAAAAATTAATCACAATAAAAATTGTGTTGGGGTATTTTGTGATGTAAAAGAAATGTTGTGAGAATTAAAACATCCTAAAACACAGTTATGTTTAAATAATATTTCAATATTGCTTTAAAAAGAAGAGAAATTTCAGATAGAATTCTTGAAAAATTTTTTATGAAAAATAATTTTTAATAGTAATCTAGATCTAAAATTATAACAAAAGTATGAGAAATAGTTAATAAAGAGATAGATAAATTGTACTAATTTCCTCAAACTGCATAAACAATAATTCAGTATAAACCACATTATTATTTAGATGTGGATAATTAAGTTTATTAATTTTATATTCTTTAATATTTCATATCAATCATTTTAAGCACAAATAGAAGGTATTTTTCCATATATATGTCTTTTCTAAAAATTAAAGAGAAAAAAATGAAAGAAAGAAGTTGTAGTTCAAAAGAAAAGGAAGAAAAATGGGTAAGAATTATATAGAACAACAATCTTTGTTTTGGTTTTTATTAAATTTATTAGGTTGGCATTGATTAATGAAATTGTGCACCCTTCAGTAGTTTATTTGCTAGCATGAAAGAACAAAAATCTTTTTGGTTGTCTAAAAAGGTTTTTTTAAATCAAATTGTAGGCCACTAAAAAGTGGCACTCCTAGCCAAATAATCAAAGGCACCCTAAAAAGTGCTAAAAATTAGGTTATTGTGACTGTTTTGGCCAGACCCCACATTCTTGTTTTATTTTTTATTGAATTTATTGTGGTGATATTGGTAAATAAAATTATATAGGTTTCAAGTATACAATTCTATAATACATCATCTGTACATCATGTGTTCACCATCCAAAGTTGAGTCTCCTTCCATCACCATTTATCCTCCCGTTTACCCTCTTCTACCTGTTCGCTCGCTGCTCTCCCTCTGGGAATCGCCATATTGTTCTCTGTGTCTATGAGTTCTTTTTTTTTTGCTTAATCCTTTCACCTTTTATACCTAGGTCCTAGTCCCCATCTCCTCTGACAGCTGTCAGAAGCAGGATAACGTATATCAATTAGGACAATAAACATAGATCAATATATATCCCTATTAAAATATAAAGATGTTCAGATTGAGTTAAGAAACAGATTTTTAAAATTGTTGTTCTATTATAGTTCTTCCTATGTTCTTAGAAAGATATTTTTAAGAGGTAAAAAAAAAAAACAAACAAGATAGTGCCATATAAAAACTATTATTCCTTTTATCCAAATATTTTCTGGAAATTCTAAAATGTAAAATAAACCAGGATTCCCAACCTAAAACGATGACAGGCAACTGATTGTTCCTACAAAAACTCCAAGGCAGCCAAGTGAGAAGTTTTTAGAATAAGGAAAAATTTTAAGGCCTATAGTTAAGTAATTTGTACTTAACCACTTTCATCTCTTTCCCTCTATAATATACAATGTGGCTGTCCACACCACACTGAACACGTCTACATTTGGGCTCTTGTTTCCTCCAGCTGAGATTCCTGCTTACTAAGTCAACTGTGTTTGTTTTAATGGTGAATAAGACAAGTACACTTGATAATGTTAAAGTTCATAAAAGTATACAACATGTTTAACTGTGACTGTGAAAAAGAATTTTTCAATGCAAATCAATTTTAATATTTTGGGAATATTTATAAAAGTGCAAATAAATAATAACTTACTGATGAATTTGCTAAGATGGGCAGAACTACTATAAATGTTTGAGGGAAACACCATAAAAAGAAAATGTAGCATACACTTTTTTCTCAAATGGCTGTATATTTTTATTCTATGTTAAGGACATTGATATCCTTATTATTATTGCAAATTGAGGCAATGATTTGTGAGTATGATTCAAGTAAGAAACACTTCAATTTGCAATAATCAGCCAGCCAAGAGCATACACAGAAAAAGTTTGGTTAGATATCAGAAGGCTGGTGGTTAAAAGGTGCAATTATATGTTTTAAGTTATATTAAGATTTTAAAGAATACATACATTTTAAAATTAATTTCCTTGTAACTGTCTTTTCAATTAACTATCAAGCACTGGACCTAACTGCTTTGGGTGAAAGGGCTTTTACTTTACATGAAACACAAAAGTTTTTCCCCACAAGAGCAATATCTAGTTAGAACACTCAAAACCCAATAGCCAAGGAGGAAGGATCTTGAAAACTGAGTTTTTGAGTTTTGCTATATGCCATCTCTCTAGCCTTGGGAAATTTACTTTCTCAATAACTAAATCAGAAATTTTCAGTTTCCTTAGTTGACAATTTACAGAGTTCTTGTGAATATTACTAAAAGTATACAGAGTGTCCTGTGTTGTCTCTAGCCATCCCCTGCCAAACTTTTTCTATTATAAAACACATATGACACAAAATTTATCATTTTAATCATTTTAAGTGTGTAGTTCAATGGTATTAGGCACATTCATATTTTTGTCGAATGATTACCATCATTATCTTCACAAATCTTTCATCTTGTAAAATGGAACTCCATGCTATCAAATAATGCCCCATTCCCCTCTCCCCAGTCCCCCGCGAACACCATTCTACTTTCTGTCTCTATGATTTTGGTTATTCTAGACACCGCTTGTAAGTGGAACCATAGAGTATTTGTCTTTTTGTGACTGGCTTATTTCACATAGTGAGTGTCTATCTTTTAACAAGGGCTCATCTCTTCCCAGTCCCCCATCCTCTCCAATTCCTTGATCACCGCCTTGTCTCTCCTGAAATCGTGGAAAGTCCCTGAATGACTTTTTCTTCCTTTCTTCTTAGCTACTTTGTATGGGCTTCAGCTCAGAAATCACTCAGGAATTGATTACCCAGGAAGCATTCCTGATTCCCTCCTTCTCTGTACCTCTGGATGAAGTGCCCCTCCTATGAAGTATGGTAGGATCGAGAATATATCTCAATTATAAGGCTGCTATACCTGCATCAGGCTAAACACTCTGAAGCAAGCAAGAAAGCTAGCTAACCTCTATTGAGCACCTGCTACATGCTAAAATCTTAGTCTCAGTTCTGGGGGAGAACATAAAAAATTATTTAAAAATGATTCTTGACCTCAATCAGATAAGGGAGACCTGACGTTAACTTAATTTGGAAAAAAGTCTTCTAAGTTAAGATTTTCTACATAATCTTTAGAATACTAAAGCTATAAAATGCTCTTCCCCAAGGCAGAAATACAGATAGATGATAGATAAATTCAAACATACATACATACACATGTACATACATACATTTATAAATAAATTTGTATGTTATATATTATACATCTATTCAAGTACACTTGGGAAAAACTAAGTATTCTCTCTCCTTGTGATCTACAATAGAGATAGCATTAAAAGGCTCTGGAAATCCTGATGTGAAAAAGTACATATGAATTTAACTTTTCAAAACTTATTTCTCCAGTGTTTCATGAAAGGCCCTGTAGGTGCCACAGAAAGCACATTCCAATATAATAATAATGGTGTACAGTATAGTCTGAAGGCACTCTTCTAAGCTCTCCATGTATGTTAACTCAATTGCACCTCACAACTATAACATGGGGCAGGTAATACTTTATTACTACTTTACAGGTAAAGAACTGAGGTACCAAAGCATTTGGTAACCAGGGCAGTTGGGATTCAAGACCAAGTATTATGGATCTAGAAAGGAAAGACCTGAGTTTAGGCCCTAGCTTTACTATTTCCCAGTTATATCATGTTGGACAAGCCACAATCAAAACCCCATTTTCCTTATCTGGGAAGTATGGATAATTATACTCTATCCACTGTGACTATGTCATTTGGTTTGTTTAGCACTTCTTGCATGTAACTGAAAATTCTCCCTATGCTCTAAAGCATGAATTGATGAGAGTGGCATGTTCTGGGCATGTATGGCATAGACAACAGTATGGAGATTGCAGGGGACGTGGTATAAGGAGGCTAAATGATAACGGAAAAAATATAAAAAATTAAAAAAATATATGAATTGACAAGCTTTTTCTATAAAGGACCAGATAGTAAATATTTTAGGCATTGTGGGCCATGTTGGTTCTTTGTGTATAGTGTAACTTTCTTATTCTCCTCCCTCCCTCCCTCCCCCCTCCCTCCCTCCCTTCTTCCTTCCTTCCTTCCTTCCTTCC